CAAAGCATTAAAGAATTTGCGATTTTACCTGAATAAATACATTTGTCGTGTTGGCTAACACACGTTAGCAGCCCTGTTTACAGTCACAGGGAATGAGGCTCAAGGAATATGTTCACAAGCAGTCTCCCCCATAGTGAAATCCTGGTTTAGTCCAGGTTTATCTCCTGTTTTGTGTCCCCATGACGGCTCTCTGATAGCCGCACGGAGGAAAAAGTTCATCTCTTGCTTTCGCCGCATGCACGGGGTCTCTGTGTCCACTGCCTCTGCCACACCGCACATGCTATGCCTTGCACGGACGTGCATAACCACTGACACGGCATTGTGCGGTTGTTGTTTATGCATTTCCCCGAAAGTTTTGCGGTTGACGCTTGGCTGTGATAGGTCGAGAAGCCTCTGCCTACATCCCCCAGAATGCCGCGCGCCTCTGACTCGGCTCTACTTCCTGTGTTTTTGTCCTGTTTTTTCTAACGGAGTGACGTTAAATTAACATTCTATCGACCCTGTTTTCTATTGATATCGAACACGTGTCTATCACAATATATCTCGTTGTTGTTTTATCGCCCAGCCCTAGTTTTACATTGTATTTAGTTTACGGCAGCCGTAAAGCGTGAGCTGCTGAAAAGTGACGTAAATCGGCTTCATATTTACCAAATCCGATATTATCCGATCCTTACAAAATACCCATATCGGCCCCCGATACCGATACTGAATATCGGATCGGTACATCCCTAGTTGTAAGTGGTTATACTGGCGGGGGTCGTGTTGTAAAGTTCCACTGCCCCCTACTGGCCGGACGCTAGAACAAAATAGTTTTCCGTCATTGTGTAGACGCTGTGCATTACGGAGCCTTGTCGTCTTTGCACATTTCTTTGCAGCGTCTCCGTCTAAATGGGGCCTTACCTCCATTAGACTTCTTTGGGTGATGTGATATCAGCACTCCCCTTGTTTTTTTTGGCCCATGATTTTGGCTTTACAAACATAAATAAAGAAGGGAATTACCCTTCTGATCATGTTACCAAAAACACATCATCGTGTGTTTTTAGTAACATGGTCAGTGTAAATGCTCTAACAACTACAGTTCTCTTGGGGGGCGTAGTTTGGACATACCTGGTGAAGGGAAAAAGCATGAGGCGTGTAACACATGATTTTGACCTGGAGCCTATGTCTGTACCATGTAGACCATGCTGAGCCCAGCTCCCTCATCTCCCTCCTCGCCTCTGACAAGGTACAAAAGTAGTCCCCTGAAGCCTGGGTGAATGTGTGATTTTAAATAATGTATCGCAGCAGGGCAGGTGCCCTTAGCCAGGGCACACAGCCCCTCAGATCACACTGGAGCTGCCATGAAAGTTTCATTGCTCTGCTGCGCTTGTGGGAATCACTATTCAGTCCTTACATTGTGCGAGGCCTCTGGGCATTTCAGTGCACCATGTGGTTTGTGTACGTTTTACTGCAGGGACACCCCAACACTCAGGGGAACTAAAGGCTTATTTAGTGTTAGTGTAAGTTATTTTTGAGTTTGGTTGTTGCTGTTGTTGTCTCACAGGGATTTCACACTATTTGTAGGAATCTGTAGTATGTAGACATACATATTTTTCTAAATATACAAATTTGTATGGAAGTTTGCACACTCAGACTTGGATTTCATTGTTTTGGCCATATATTGGCCAAAATGCTAACACAAATGTATTTTATGATAACACAAACACGTTTTCCCTACACTTGTCATTCATGGTCGTGTGTAGTCAGATATTGTCAATTTAAATTATGACATAATTAAGTCGCTTTGTGGCTGGCTCAAATGTGCAGTACATGCAAGGTGGCCCAGGAATTGATAGGAACTGAAGAGCTGTGCCATCAGAGAGGATAAAGTCATCCACAGCTACCACAATATACTCTGAGATGTCATGGACGTTAAAGGGGACACACATGCTATTGAGAGCTGTGGGATGGAGACAATAAATGGTTTCACACAATCACTAACAATGAGCGAAAAAAGTGATTAATTCAACTCAAAAATCAGATTTATCTTAGAACAGGTAGTTGTCTGGGCAATCAGCTGCACCAATAGAAATGTAGCACTGCTGTCAATGGCTGGGGAAATGGTTAACCTCCTAATTAAAGAAGCTAACAGCGTTAATTGGTGTAAGCATTCTCTCACCTAATTAAAGCAGGGAAACCTTTTGCCATTGTAAACACAAAGCCGATTACTACGGTCACAGCTCCACAGATCAATACACAAGGTCTAACAAGCAGAGACCCATGCTCCAAATTTGTCTCTTATAATTGATTGCGTGTCAATAAAAGATGTTGTAAATTGTTTGAAATATAATTTTGACTGAATTAAAAAAAAATCTTTTGTGACTATTTCCTGTTAATAATAAAAGAGAATGAAAGTCAGGTAATCAAAGGCTCGAATGCTGCTGTCTTTCACTCCAAAGCCAAAGGGAGTGTGCTGAAAGGCACCTTTATTTTTTTAAACTTCATATTGATTAAGTTATTACTTAAAGGCACACCGCGGACTTTGTGACCTAAAGAGTTGACACATATGAGTTATTTTATATGAATACTTGGGCCAATATACAGCGCTTGACACTTGCAATGCTCCGAGCGGGGCTGCCCTCTTGAAATACCGCCCATGTAAGTTTCGAGCAGACGGACCGTCTGCCACCAGGTCACGTGACTTGGAAGAAAGATTTGCTTTACGGCTACAGGCGCTGATATACTCATGGAGCTAAGGCTTTTGCTACTCATTTTTCACCTGCTCGACTCCTGGTCATGGCTGAGGCAAGGAAAAATTTTAAACCTTCGGAGGAGGCTAAAAAGAGGAAACGCGAAAGGGATCGTGCTGTAAGCTGCATGTCTGTATGAGCGCTGCTGTTCACCTGGTTCCTGGATGTCATCGACTGCAAAGATGTCATTCCACGCAGCACGAGCTAGACGCAGAACTCCCTCATCCAGGATATAGAAGTCCATGTGTGGTAGATTACTAATGCAGCGGTCTGGAGGCTGACCACAGCAGAGTCTCTCAATATCTGTAGGCATGTCTCTACAGTTTGAACACACACACCAGTGCATGCTGTCTGAATACACACTCAAAAGACACCGGCTGACTGTTTGTTGACTTTTGCGACAGTGCTGAGTTGCTTGTGGCCACTAGGGGCGCTAAACGTGAAAGTTGCAGGTCTAGCGCCCCTAGTGGCCAAGAGTTACACGGTGTGCCTTTAATTTGTACTTGATTTCTTACTCTTATTTGCACTCTGCTTTGAAATACTAGAAATAACTGTGACTTAAGATTTTTTTTTAAAGCAACAGTAGGGATTTGACATACAACATTTTGCTTTGTATATAAAGGGACAAAGTAGAATTTTATTTATAATAGATGTAAGCATATGTTTCTTATTAATGCCCTTTGACTGACTTGGGTTTCTTTTTAAATTGAAAGAAAATGGTAGATTTTTGCGACAAATCGCTTAACCCTGACTTTTATCCTGAACAAGTCAGATATATTTGCTATTGAACATTTTCTTTTTAATTAGTAAAACTACATAGAAAGGTTATTTTACTAGTTCAGTAGATTGAATCGGTTCAACCCTGTGACCTCTTGTTTGTATGTGTTCAAAAGCCTGTCCTTTCTGTCGCATTGTTCACTTCTCTGTAGACTTCCTTAGACCTTAGAACCCAGAGAGCACTTTTTCCTCTTTGAGTAAAGTCTTTCTACAGCTCATGTCAGGTTTTATGTGAGTAAATATCTGCAGCACATCCGTCAGGTTACAGAGATATGTCTTGACTTCTATGTCACTTAGAATGAAAATATCTTTGGGGACATGTGCTAGTGCGGTGCTCTGCTGGTCCCAGAGCCAGGACTAAACACGGGGAGGCAGCATGAACATTCAGGCAGCTAAATCCTGGAACAGGCTTCGTGAAGACATGAAACTGGCTCGACTCTAAAACAGTGAAGTTTAGCCGTCCATACAACTGAAAATAATGAGTCAATTCTTCTGTTAAAAAGAAGAGATGGAATTGAACCCAAGACCTCAGCCAACGTGCTGCCCAAGTTTAGATGATTAACTCACTGACTGCCATGGACGTATTTGGCTGAGACTGGTGATTTCTGTCAAACTTCTCTCTATTCGACTGAAGATTACAGCAGAACAAAACTAGCTAGATACCAACATATTTTTGCTGATGAAAGTAGACGGTTCAATCTTTCAGAATCTGGTTTCATATATTTCATAGTCACAGCACACAGTATTTTGTGGGTCTTGAAAGTTACTGAAATCATCAAAAACGGCTGGCAGTCAATGCAAACATGCAGTTGACCAAAATATGTGATTCTCAACAAATTTCAATGAATTCTAAATATTTATTAGAGAAAATTGCAGACATGAGGATAAATGGAAACTATGAAAGTCAGACACATAAAACCAAGCAAGTTTTTGTCACACCTACTTTGGAGTCGACCAATTGGCCGCCCAGGGATGTCTGTGTTTCAAGCTTTTCTTTTGTCGACTCCAGTCATACTATTATTGCATACTCTACAGTCAAATATGTATTCAATATGTTGCGTTCATGTGACATCAGCACATTCCTAAGAGCCCACAGTTTAATATTGTGGCGGAGGGCTGCTGAAAAAAATACTGTATTTCCTGGTAACTATGGTAACTGTCTTAGGTTTAAGATAATTTCTCTGTAATTCTTGGGCCTGTCCACATACAAAACAAAAACATCTTCTTTGTCAGGGCTTCTTAACGTTTGTATAATTATTTTCTCATGCTTTGTGAATATAATTACTATCAAATAATTTTGGACCTTTTATTTTTCAATATTTCTTTCAAAAAACTGCTTCTTTCCCACAGAGTTGTATTGGCACCTGCCCGAAATACTGAAATAGAACATTTCCAGATTTCAGATTCCCACCTGTATTCTACTGTTGTATATTAAAATCCGGTGTATTCCTCGCTGTACCAGACCCTTACTTTCTGCTCTTCTCTGTGTTACAGGTTAGCTTTATACGTGTACGAGTACTTGCTCCATGTGGGCGCGCAGAAGTCCGCACAGACCTTCCTGTCAGAGGTATACGACTCTCACACTTCCTGCTGCTACAGCGGGATCCACCCCCCCTATTGTATCCGCACCAGTGGAATTCACACGTCATCACGCATCTGTTGCTGTATCCTAATGAGACTAGCCTATCCTGCACACACTGCTAATGACAGATTGTAATTTTGACGTCTGAGTGCTTACTTTATGGCTCACTCCACACTAAACTGTATCAATATGTTACATTTTGGTCAATGACACAAAAAAGTCCCAAAATGTCCGCGGCCGTTACCACTGAATGTTCAATGATCATTAACCATTAAATAGTCTCCTCTGTCCTGTTCATTCTTACATTCACAAATCCTCCAACACGACACGTCCTAAATGTAACAATTGTGTCCCAAAAGTTCAATGCAATTTTTTTGAAAGGCATCCATTTTTCTTGAAATCAGAATCAGAATCATTTTTATTGCCACGTAAGTAACAGGAGGTCACAGACTTGGAAATTGATTTGGCTCAGAGCAACAGTCAGAGAGAGAGAATAAAAAATAAATAATAAAAAACACTTCTAAGGATTAAATTAAAAATTAAAATTAAAATAGAGTTACAATTAATATATACAATATACAGGGCACATGGAAATAGTTGTAGCTGCCCTTCTGAGATTATCCTATGTTTATCTATAGGCTACATAGTGTTAAAAAAGGTTCAGGTACAAACATTTTTAGTTTATACATTTATTTTATTGTCGCTTGAAGTTAGATCGAGCAATGGTACAGTTTAGTGTGGAGTGAGCCTTATGTTATCAATGGTACTTTGTTTTGGCATTTAACTTGTGCAAAACATTTACAATCAGTGTTTTCTGTTATAATTTTTTTTCCCAAACGTTAACGGATACACAAACACGCATAAACACAAAACTATTTTTTCAAGTAGAAATATAAAAATAAAACGGAGAGGACCACCCTCAGCAAATCAGCTCTCAGTCCAAAGTCTAGAGTAGTTTTAAAAGCTAGTAAAAGATCACGTATTCTCCAGTGAGATGAAGAGTCTGATGTTATAACACTCTTTCTGTTGAGACAAACAGCATATATTATTGATCAAACAAACACATTTCGCTCCAGCTTTGGGAGGAGGCAGTAGAAGGTAATATCTATAAATAACATCAAACTGGTAAAAGTTTGCGTTGCTTGTTGGATCGTTGAACTGTGGAAGATTAAAGCCCTGTAATGAGTTGTATCCTCTTCCCTAATGGACATCCTTCCTAATAAAAAGGCTGGACTGACTCCCCAAGGCTTCCTCTGATCTACTGTATACGTCTCCAAACATTTCTTTAAAGCAGAGATATTATGTCTAAATATTATGAGAAGGAGACATTTTAGTTTGTCATTTTTTGTTTTAAAATGTGAACAAATATATTCAGTAGATAATATATAATGAAACAAGTATCAAGGGCCATAATGCCAACGGCCTGTAACTCCCGATGCTACCACCACAGTCAGGTCGTTTCTGGCTGCTAACAGACAGGTGGATGTAATGAACGTTATTTCACTTGCCAAAAGTACTTTATAGGCAACTCATTAACTCCCATTGACGTATTTGGCTGAGACTGGTGATTTCTGTAAAACTTCTCTCTCTATTTGACTGAAGATTACAGGAGAACAAAACTAGCTAGATGCCAACTTTGCTGATGAAAGTAGACAATACAGTCTTTCAGAATCTGGTTTCATGTTTTATATAGTCACAGCACAAAATATTCTGTGGGTCTTGAAAGTCAGTGAAATCATCAAAAACGGCTGTGAGTTAAAAGTAAAAAAAAAAACACATATTGATGCAATGACAGAAGAGGCAGAGTTACATGTTTGTACCACAAGTTCCTGATATTAGCTTGGAGGGTCTGTTATTGAAGAGGAGCAATATTAATGTCATAAAAAGTTACTGTGGATAATACGTCTCCTCTATCCCTATCAACTGGACACTACTTCATATTGTGGTAATGTAAAACCAACTAAAACACACTTTTTGAGGCAGTCCGTTCTACCAATCCGTCTTCTTCTGACCAATTATAAAGGTTATGGTTGTATGTGTTCAATGCTCCGTATGCGGCCTGTTAAATTCCCGCTACTAGTTCAACCATCCACCAAACATGTCTCTAATTATTGGTTTTGTTTAAAAGAAGGATTGAGAAAAAAATGACAAAAACATTCAAAAATGAGTTCCAAGAATATCAGATTCATTTATTTGCCATTTTCAGTAAAACAACATTGGAAAAACTGTGCAAGACTACCCCAGTGTGCACCAGACGGCACACACCAGAGCTCTTGCCACGGCACCATCTTTACGGCGAGAAAACAGCTCTACTTCCTGCAAATGTCAACATTATATTCCAAAATGTCTTCATAAACTATGTGTCTGTAAAACTTGTTTATTATATTTACATTTTTACCTTCCACACAGAGATGGGAGCGGACCTATTGTACATGTTTTTAGTGGTAGGGGAAACCGGAGTACACGGAGGAAACCTACGCAGACACGGGGAGAACATGCAAACTCCACTCAAAAACCTGGATTCGAAACCAGGACCTTCTTGCCACAAAATAAAACACAAAAATTAAACTAATAAGCTTTGATGATAAACTTTACAGTGATGTCACATGGGCAGTCATAAATCAGTACAAAAATGCATTCTCTTTTTATTATTATGAGGTTTTTTATAATGTTTAACAAAAAACAGAGGTTCCATAGCATTGATTATCAGACAAAATGACAAAAAAGCTCACCCTATATTTTTGTATTGATTTACTGCTTAAACATGTCTGTATTTGTCATCTGCACTGTACATGTCTTGCTGGCCCAAGTCACTCACAGGAATAGCTAACCTCAGTTGCTCCACATTAGCTCCGTTGTGTCCAAAGGGAGCTGTAAGCCGGGCTCTACCTCAATTAGCCTGTGGCCCTCCTTCAGAAGAGCCCCGCACACATACATTTAAATATAAGCACACAATAGGCCCTGGACCCCGGAGAGGAGGGCCACTCCAGGCTCCAGAGCTCTGAGTGCCACTGGGATGTGAAGCACTGTTTAAATCTGCACACGCTCTCAAATGCATGAAAAAGCTCCACTTAAAACACTTTTTATTGGTCAATGAATACGTATTTTTAACATGATGGCTTCTTTGTTAACAACAACGATATATTGTGAATCGCCAAGACAAGGGGCTGCATTCTCTTCGACTAAAAGACCGCTCTAGAGTCTCAACAAGTGAGACTCTGCATTGAACAATTTGTCCAAAAACATAAAATGAAAAATAATTTGTTTACATTTGTGCTCAATATAACAATTTTGAAGTTAAATGTCGCAATATATCGGTCAAGAAAAGTTAAGATGAGATAATAGAACCTTAATTTCTCCCACAGTGGGGAAGTTTCAATGTTGCAGCGCACATACAGGGCAGACTATGGCTTTAACACACATGTACATGGATCATTGATAAAAGCTCAGAATCAGAAGATACACTCCGAAGCAAAAAGTGTTTATGTCTTCAATCACCAATAAATATGTATTTAGACAATACATGGTTACAGCAAATTCTAATTCTGAAGTCCTGTTCCTGGTTGTTTTACTAACTTTGAGTATAAAAGAATACAAGTTTCTAAAACACAATCTAAGCTCACAGATGAACACATTTAGCGGACATATCTCACCATTTTAGTTGTTAAAGCTACAGTGTAACTCCTATCTAGCGTTGAGATCATATATTGTAATTGACGGTGCTACGGAAGCCTTCTCAGGACAATATGTGGTCTTTGACAGTGGTCCCCAACTCCGGCTCAAACTCCTTCTTGTCCCTTATCAACCACCGTACAGTATTTCAAGATGACGGATTGACATGTAGAGTCCTCCAGCCTCATGGACATTTAAAAGACAAATTGTTAGCCTAAATGACAACTATTCAAAAACATGGTGGAGGTTAAATATTCTTAAAAACATTACAGTAGTACCTTTAACTTATAATACATGTATTTAAGTTACTTTTTACGTATTGTCTAGTTTTGTGCCACTGCTTGACTGAAGTTAGAGGATCACATTATGCATAAAACATGAAGCCATATTTTCTGACCCTTTTTGGTCTTGCTCTCCTGCAGATCCGATGGGAGAAGAACATTACACTGGGGGAACCTCCGGGGTTTCTACACTCGTGGTGGTGGTGAGTTTGGACTTTTCACCTCTTGTGTGTGATAGTGACTTAGAGCACTTGCAGAAGGATGTGCTGAAGTGGAGAGGACAGTAATTGCTGGTCAGGGAAACATGCATCATGGAACACATGTTTTAAGAGCCGTACTCCTGACATGTCTCTGAGTGACAGGTTGACTTCTCTCCCCTCCTCTGTTATGTAAACCTCACATCTGAACTGCCCGCTCTGTCTCTGCCACTTCTTTCTTTTTTTGTAATTTTCTTTTTATTGTCTCATTTTTTTTAATCACATTTCGGCCACATTTTGTCACATTTTTGTCACGTTGTCGTCACATTTTCGTCACATTTTTGTCACGTTATAGTCACATTTTTGTCACATTACGGTCCTATCTTTATCACATTTTTGTCACATTGTCGTCACGTTTTTGTCACGTTATGGTCACATCTTTGTCACGTTATGGTCACATCTTTGTCACATTTTTGTCACGTTATCGTCACCTTGTCGTCCTATTATGGTCACATCTTTGTCAAATTTTTTGTTACATTGTCGTCACATTTTTGTCACTTTATCGTCACATTTTTTGTTACATTGTCGTCACATTTGTGTCACTTTATCGTCACATTGTCGTCATATTATGGCCACATTTGTCACTTTTTCATCTCGTTTTTATCACTCTTATTTTTTTCCTTTCCCCCGTGTGTACCTACACCCAGTAAAACAAGAAAAAAATAAAAACAAGGACCAAGAATAAAAAATAAGATAAAACACGAACGTAGTTAAATAATAAGAAACAATCACAAAAGAAAAAAAAAGAAAATAAACTTTTTGTGGGGTGATTACATTTCCATTGTCTCCAACATTGAGGGTCGCCACAGGTCCTCAAATTCTTTCATTTTGTTCTTTAACCTTGCAGTTACTTTTTCCATATTTAACACATCTTTCATTCTGTCCCACCATTGCTTTGCACGAGGTGGTTGTGGTTCAAGCCAGCAGACTGTAATAATTTTTTTTGCTATTATAATTAACATTCTAATAATCTTCCTTATTTTTATTGGAATATTTTGGGGGATAATACCCAACAAAAACAGTTGTACGGCTAAATCAATTTCTTTTGCCACTTCTTTCTGCTAATGCACTGTGGATTAGTTTCAATGATTTTCTCGGACTGCACTTGGTTCAATATTGATTCAGGTACTTTGGCTTTTTTAAGCTGGGGTACCTAACTTTCAAACATAAAAAAAAAAAGTTTGTTAGTGCTTTTGTTGAGCCTGGTTCACACGAGACGATTTTAAAATTGTCTGCCGATTTTCCTAACCTGACAGAGCCCACACACGGAGATAAAAATCAGGGTCTAACCACTTTGATCGCACAGTGTGTGGTGCGCAGCTGCACGGCAAAAACACACAAACTACACACGAACCGATTTCCCCCACGAGCATTCTCAGATCAGACGGAAATCTCACAAAATCTTGCGAGATTAAGCGTGACTTCAGAGTAAACAATCATGGAGGACGAAGAGGATGCAGTGGCGATAGTTTGCGGTAAAATAAATGGAGACAACGCGGGCATGGACTTTATATATTTATGCCATTGACTGTTATGATTATTTTACTGTGTTTCTTTGCCGCCTCGTCACCTCGTCTTCTGATTGGCTACACGCCGCAGTCACCTGGCAACGCGCTCGTCTGTCCCCGGTGGACGCCACACACCAAGAGAAATCGGGCTAAAACAATCCAACATGTTGGATATCCCCGATTTGAGATCGGAGCAGTCCTGAAGTCCTTCTGAGCGACGCAGTCTTACACACCACACATGGAAAATCCATCAGATTATTTTACGAAGATTGTCGTTAGGGGTAAATCGGGTCTTAAGGAGCGACTAAACACCAAATCAACTTTTTTTAACTCATAAACTGCATAAATATGTTTATTGTAGTGCTGTCTACATATCCTGGTCATTTTCTTGACATTTTAGTTCAAATTAAATAAAATGTCACATTTGAGCCAAAAAACGCTGTGTGGCGCCCTCTCAACCTTTCTGGTGGTACTACATTTGAATTTGGTTCTGGCCTCTCCATTGACTCTGAAGTTCTCTATGACATCAGTTGTTTTGTGTGACGTCAGTCTGTCAGAGCCAGTGATATAAACCCATAGCGAACTATCTGAATGACGTCACTAAGACACGCCCCCGCCGCCTGTCAACTCCCGCCCACATGTTTCGGACAAACACTGCCGAAATGAATCAAATACCACTTGTCACTTTAGACGAAAATGATATACCAGGGGCAAAATTCCACCATCAAACCATCAGGGATCATAGTGTAGACCAATTATAACGTTGGCTTGAATGTCGTGGTCTTCCAGTAACTGGTAGAAAGTTTGATTTGATAAAAAGGTAATGGTGAGGATTATGCTAACATTATCTAGTCATTTAAATTGCAATGCTAGCGCCTTCTTTGTTTGTTTTGCTGTGATTAACTTCCATTTATCAAGTTGTTTTTGCACTATCCACTTTGTAATTAGTTTGATCATTAGTTAGCTACAGTCAGCTGATATTATAATAAATCCATGATCACAACGGGTTACGCCACTGTCTCTGAGAGAAACTATCAGAGCTAGCCACACTCAGTAAACGCAAATGACAATCAATCAACACATTTAAATGTTAATGGGAGAATACATTATACACATTCATAACACAAGTGCACGGAGGTTTTCAGAATTAACTGTTCAGGTTTTCATGACAAAAATACTTTTTTAATGCGACTAAAGCGATCGCTTTTAGGTTAACTATCCTCACTGTTACTCGCCTGCCACGGGAAAACCTTTGGGAACTATTTTCTTTGCACTCATTAAATAAACCTTTCGGCATGAGTAGTGAATGACGTTTATTTTGTGTGTTCAATTGGTACAAAGCCGTATAATAAGCAGACACAAAGTTGAAAAAAATCCCTCTCATCTTTCTTCAGGTGTGAGAATTGTATACTTTCTGGATTAGGACAAACAATACTAATATGGATTGATGGGGGTAAATGGTGTAAAGAGAAAGTTTGTGCTAACTACATTCAGAAGAGCTCAGACGGACCTGATACAGCGGTCCAGATCCAGTCCCAGCTAAACGTAGCTAGGACTGGATCTGGATGCTCCACAGTTGGTCCAGCGAAGTGTTTTGAAAAAACATGTGCCCTTTTTAACCTTTTCATGAGAGAAATTCTGCCGACCACAAGCACCCACCTGGTCTGATCTGGTCCTGGTCTGGTCCTGGTCTGGTCCGATGTTGTGGTTTAACGAACGGGTTGAATGTTACTTTCATATAGTCCTTTTCAGAGTATCTGAAATCGCTCCGACAAGCACCATAACTGCAGTGTTTTGTTGTCACCATGATTCAATGATTTAGCCCAAATAAATACACACGCGTATGAGGAGAACACAGTAGAACTCAACGAGTCGTACACAATGTTTGTCCGAAACATGCGCGCATGCGCAGTCATCTGAGCTATTTTTAGCACATTTCGGAAACCGGACAGTGCCCTATTCAACTCTCACACACGCCCCAGCTGCAGTTTGGAGTATTCTGGCGCCATCTAGTGGATTAAAATTAAATTACATGAGTCATTCTGAGATTATTGAGTGTGATTAGGTTCAGGTGTGTAGCTTTACAATTATCTTAGTGTGTAAACAAGGGTGGAATGAGACTTTCTGGTCTGTAAACTATTGCTTTAAGCAGCAATGACAACTGTCTGTTTTTTGTGTGTGACAAGTGAGCTGTCAATCACAGCCCAGACCACGCCCAACTCTAAGCCCCCCTTCTTGTCCCTTGGTCCCCCAGGCAACGCCCTTTTTAGAGAAAAATTTCAAATCTTCATGTGGGCGGAGTCAGGCAGGGCACAGGTGTTTAGTCGCTCTTTAAATCGGCCTAATTATCCTGCCGTGTGAACCAGGCTTTAGTGCTTTCATTAGTTTTCAGTTGTATGTATCATTGGCCTCTGTCACATCTTCAGATCGAGACTCTTTCTGTTGGGACAAAGAACAAGTGTTATTTATGTAAAACATATGTACTCTAACTATATCAGTGTGTCTTTTTATATCCAACAAATAGCGACATAACCACATTCTATTAAGTTTAAAGTCACAAATTAAATTAATTTGTTTTCATCAATTTTTGTTCCCATCAAAATCACGACAGCACACAGAGGGCATCATAGAATTATTGAATTGCCAACTGCAGATAGAAAATCACTCTTGGGCGGCACGGTGGCTGAGTGGATAGCACTCTCGCCTCTCAGCAAGAAGGTCCTGGGTTCGAATCCCGTTTGGACCAGGGCCTTTCTGAGTGGAGTTTGCATGTTCCCCCCGTGTCTGCATAGGTTTCCTCCGGGTGCTCCGGTTTCCCCTACCACTAAAAATATATACAATAGGTCTGGCATGTGCCTCCTGTACTGGCGACCCCCACCCAACAATTGTAAACCGCTTTGAGAATCAGATGTGCAGTGAAAAGGCGGTATATAAATAAAAGCTTACTTACTTACTTACTTACTCTATAAAACAGGCAAGGTCCGAAAAAACCAGGAGTGCACACCTGTGACGTTCTGGATATTCTAACATCCGCCCATACATAGTCCCATTACATTCATTGCAAGGCTTTATCAGCATATTGGTTTAACTGATGTCCTTAAATTAATAATGTCAGTAGTAATTTGTGTACTACTGATATATTGAGTAATTTGAGTTGCCTTGTGTATGAATTGTGCTATACAAATAAACTTGCCTTGCCTTGCCTAATTTAACAATACACTGGGAAAGACATGAATTCCTAATATCTTGTCTATGAATCTGACCACAGCTCTCATGTTTTGTTTATTCAAGATTTAGAACTTTAAGTCAAAGACCAGTGAGACTCTTGTCAAATCTAGTGTCTCTAACTGTCTCTCATATCTCACTATTTTTCATTTGAGATTATCTTTTTGACCTCAATATCCATTTTTATAGCAAAGCAAACACATAATTGTAACC